ACTGGTTTCTGTATCTGGCCTCAATATCCTAACCCTTAGAACGGGAACTGACACAAGAGGCCTTCTAAGGTAACAGGCAGAGCAGAGTCCCAGAAGGGCAAGCAAGTGGAACTGGGACTTGGAGAGAGAGGCAGCAGGGGTTGGTGCAGGGGCCTGGGGTCAGAGAATTAGCTCTGCTGGTAGAGCTGTTAGGAGGAAGGGGTCCAAGGCGTGACTCACAGTGAGAGGGGCACAAGGGTTTGTGTGGTATCAGTGCTTGTTTCCTCTTCCTGCAATTGAATGCTTTGAAGGGGCGTCTGCCTGCTCCAGATCACCAAAGACACCACCATTCCCCAAAGTCTCATACCTGGCCCTGAATCATCAGTTGACCTTGATTGGACAAAAGAACTAGCTGGAAAGGGTGGGAAGAGCATCAGTGGGAGATTTCCGAGGGCAGGAGCCTGGGTGCAGGAGAGATGTTAAGGGTGTCATGGGGCTGGATGAGAGCCTGGGGTCACAACCTGGCCAGGGCTCTCTATTCCACAGCTAACTGGTTGTGGGTGCAAAACATGGGGCAGGGAGGCAATGCTGGGGGAGGGTTGTGGCACATAGGTTGATGCAATCTACATGTCCCCCCACCCGTTGTGCCCTGCAGCAAATCAACAATGTCAGCGCCATGCTGGTCCTCGCCCGGCCTGTGACAGGTCCCCGGGAGTATGTGCTGGACCTCGAGATGGTAACCATGAACTCCCTCATGAGCTATCGGGCCAGCTCTGTACTGAGACTCACCGTCTTCGTGGGGGCCTACACCTTCTGAGGAGTGGGGGGAGCCCACAGGGAGGGGGAGGTCCCTGGTGCCGAGGAGCCTGGAGCTCAGGAATGACTGTCCTGCTAAAAGGGAAGATGCTATTGTGAAGGGTAGAGAGAGAAAGGCAATAAAGGGAGAAAGAAGGAGTCCTGATGGCTGAGGTGGGTGGGTAACACTCCAGTGAACCCCAGACTGGGGAAAGGGCCAGGTTTGGGGGGGGGGCGGGCCAAGTCCACCTAAAGTGAGGAGTCAGCTCAGGCTGAGGGGGACCCATTGGCAGGAGTTGGGAGCTGTGTCCCTAAGGCTGGGATTGGTCTACGGACCATGGGCGTCAGAATCACCCTGAGAAAGGAGGAAGTAATGAGGCTGCAGACGCTAGATCCCAGCATAAACTAGGACTTGGCTGGTTTGCAGGGAGCCTGAGAAAGCCTGCTCCAGACAGTGCCAGGAGGCCTGTCCTCAAACTATCAATTTGGACAAACCCTAGTAGCTCCCTGGGCCTCAGTTTTCCAATCCATAAAATGAGGCAGTTGGGCTGTTAGTGCTTTTCAAACTTTCCCCCCAAACCTCAGAACCTTTTATCCAAGGAAATTTTATTGATTAGGGACCCTCTGATGACATAAACTAGGTGCAAAGTTGCAATGCCTCACCGACTTCAGCTCCTTCTTAGTCTCAGTACTCCACTAGGGAACCCTAAGGTCTTGAGGAGCTCTGTTTAAAAACCACTGGACCCGGGCCGGCTGAGTGGCTCAGTTGGTTAAGAGCTCGCTCAAGAGTTTGAGCTCTGAGCAACAGCGGTTCGAGTCAGCCCGAGCTGAGCAGCCGTGAGCTGCCAACAGGTGGCGGGATGGCTCAGCTAAAAAAAAAAAAAAACCACTGGACCCAATGGGCTCCCTAGTTTCTGCCTGAATATTTTACAAGGCCCTAGGGCCTGGCATCACCTCCATAACACATAACGTTGCAAATACTTAGATTTTTTATTGGAAGTCCAGAAGATTCTGGTTAAAAGGCTGGCTAGCCTTAGAAGATGGGGACTGGGGTCTGTCTCGTGGCAAAGTTTAGGTCAGGGGGCTGTAGCTGCAGTAAAGCTGGGCCAAGGTCCTGCTCAGAGCGGGCCCCAGATTCCTGCACAAAGAGAGATGCTAGTGAGGGTCAGGTCCCTGCCATAGCAACTTTGGCCCTAGCCACTCTCCAGGTTCTGTCCCTTGCCTCACCTCTGCAGTCGCCCACACTTGACGGTGCTCAGCAGCAGTTCCTGTTCCTTGGGGGTGGCACAGGCATCATAGGCGGCCAGTAGGCTGGGCATGGGGTGGGGCATTTGAGTTTCTAAGGCTTGACAATGGCTGACTCTGGCCCAGCTTAGGCCAAAGTCATGGGAGACAGGCAGGAAGGGGTCAGCATGGGTTAGAGTCAGGACCACTACCGCAGTTCCTGAGCTGGGCATTCAAGGCCCTGCTCCATCCCGCTCACCCTCCCTTCATGCTCCTGAAAATGTTCTCCAAGTTCTTGGCCCAGTCTTTATGGCCCTACCCTTCCTCCAGGATGCCTTCTTTGCTGCGCCAGGTGGAATGTCTCCCTCCCTCCTGTGGGTTCCCCCAACACCTGAAATACTGTTTGGCCCTGGCTGGCACTCTCTTGCTCACCAACCAAACTCCATGAGCTCCTGGGGTTCAGCTGAGTCTGCCTATCTCTGGGTCTGCACAGCCCTCACAGAACCAGATCCCCCACAAAACACTGGCTGAGCTGAATTCCATGCAGGGAGGACAAGAGCAGTGGATCCCTCAGGGGCTCCGTGGGGGCCTACCTGGCAGGGGTGCTGTACCGATCCACCAGGGCTGCTGCCTTCTCCCCACTCACTCCTCGCACCTGTACCAGCTGCCGGGTGAACACCTCCCTCACAGACTGGGCCTGGGGTCAGGAGAGGACTGTGCCAGGGGTGGTCTAGGGCTGGACCCCGTAAGGAGGAGCTGGGCAGAGGCAGTACCTTGTTCTTGATGGCTCCCGTGTTGAAATCTTTGAAGGTGAGCAGTGAGCAGAGAGGGTTGGAGGAGGGGCCAGCTCCTGATTCGGGGTCCCCTGGGATTCCCCAGGTGCGACTGCATAGAGTGTGGCCCTGAGGGGAGAGAGGACTGAGGCCAGGCCAGAGCTCTAGGGAAACCGCCCAGCCAGTCCTTGCCCGATCTTAGGCCTCAGTGGGCCAACCTGAAGAATAGGAGGGATCTCACTTACCCTGCCTTCCTTGGGGGAGCACAGGGCCCAGGTAAGGGACCAGTGCCACACAGGTGTACCTGCTCACCTGGTAAAGTCTCTCCAGGCCTCGGGTCAAGAGGGCCAGGTAGGCAGCTGACTCCTTAATGTCTGCTGTGCGCTTCACGAAGAAGCCATCGATAACCTGTGGAAGAGGACTCAACAGAGGGAGGTAGCTTCAGGCCCAAGCTGTGTAACGGACCATGGGGTCCCTACCAGCTTGGCTCTGCCCTCCCAGCTCACCTGAGTGTTGGTGACAGCCTGCAGCAGTGTGCTCTCGGGAAGGCTGAGGTTGTGTACTGAGCCATGCTGCTCCACCAGGTATACTCTGCGCCCCAGGCCACAGCGCTTCAGCCGGAACTGGGGAGGTGAAAAGAGGGACAAGGAGGGTCAGGCCTGGACACCTCTATGCTGGGCCATCCATCATGTCACACTCATCACCAGTGGGATCCTACTCCCACCAATTCACCTCCTCATCCTCTCTAGTCTTTCTACCTGTCTCAGAGTGGCCTCCACACCTTTGTTCATGCTGTTACTCTTGCATGGAAAGTCCATCTAACATCTTTGAATGATACCCATTCTTCAAGTCTCTCTCAGCCTATAAACGGTCTCTGACTATGGGGTCAGCCCCGAAGCCAATACCGATAGTCACTGCAGTTTCACTCCTTGTTTACGTCAGACTGCAGGGGCTGGACACCCCAGGGGTCTTTAATAGGCTCTTCAGCCCAGCCAGACGCCCTGCGCACCTGCTGTGCCCTCAGGGGGTCTGATCTCAGGGCTGCCCTGGAGCAGCTCTAATGGGGTATGGCTGGCGCTGTGGGAGCTCTGCCTCAAGGCCACCTGGAAGTCCCCTGGATTCTTCCTGGCTGAGAAAGAGGCCCCCAGAACAGGAAGGGAGCAGGGGGTGTCGTGAGGCTGGTAAAGGAACCTTCTGCTCCCGGAAGCGGCCGTCGATGATGCTGCTGCACAGGTCGTCCATTCGCTTGCGCTCCACGATGTGGTCCAGGACTAGTTCCCCAGGTCTTGCTATTGAGAGGCCAAGAAGGGTCCCATTGGCTTACGTCCCCCCACCCACCAGGCCCTGCCTCTGACACCCACCTGCCTGTCCATGCCCTCACCCGGGTCTCTGGGCCTGGTCTCCTGTGCCACCCACACGAAGTCACCGATGTGCAGCTTCCGCACTGTGTGGGTCACGTGCAGCCGCTGCAGCTGGCGGATCAGTTCTGATCTGTGCCCCGCCCTGGAATTGCAAGGCAGGAGGCTTAGGTCAGGGCAGGCCAGTGCCAACCCCAGCATCCTTTCCTTCAGTTCCCCCCACCTCACTCACCCCTTGGTCTCGCCAACATCCACACACAACAGCACCCTGTACTCTCCAGGCCTCAGCTCCAGCTGCGGCTGCTGGACACTGCCTTCATTGGCGCCACTACAAGGAGGGGGAAGAGGGGTTGGTGTGTGTGTGTGTGAGGCCAGAACCCCACTGCCAGGGCAGTTTCCCTCCAAACCCAGTGGAAATGGGACAGCCACAGCTTAGCTGTAGGTTATGGAGACAGGGATGGGGTCTTGGCTTCGTTTCTGGGACCCCCCCTGCTCCCCTTTTCTCTCCATCCCCCCTTTCTCTCCCTCCTTTCCTCACAGCTCAGCTGAGAATGATCTTGGCACTTCTGGCTTCTCCCTAGGGGGCTCCTCTGGCCCGATGCCCACATTCGGAGAGCTCAGGCCCTCTGACTCGGCCAGCTTCTGGGCCAGCTCCAGACCTTCTGGGGTCAGTGAGTACCTAGTAGGTGGAAGAGACGAACACAGATCTCCCTTCTTTGCTCATACCTGGCAGGCTCTCCTGCCTGCCCCCAACTAGGCTGGCTTTACACCCTCTTGGTGACCCTGCACGAATAAGTCCAGTGGCTTCCACCATCACCCCCCCAGGCTGTGTTCTTGCTCCTCCAATCACTGCCCTCTGGATCTGCCCAGGGCCATTCCTCAGGTCTGCAATATGTCTCACTTTTCTTCCTCCCAAGCTTGCTCATACTGTTGTTCCCTCCTCCCTTCAGTGCTTTTCCTGCATCTCTACCCTCTGAACTCTAATGTGTGTCAAATGCCATGTCCTCAGTAAAGCCCTTATGCTCCTCCTCCTTGCCCTCACTGCTCCTTCTCTCAAACCCTCCCACTACTCCAACATTGTGGGCTCCGGGGGTGGGGTGGGGTGGGGAGAGGCCTTTCCCCTAACCTCAACAGCATGAGGCCTGGGAATTGCTGGGTGACTGCAGGCCCCACTCAGAACATCATGCATGCTCCCCCTCCCTGCCTCATGCATCCCCGGTAGTTGGCCCCACCTGGCTGGCTGGTGTGTCCTAAGGATCAGGTTCCTGTGAAGGAGGGAGCGGAGCGCTGGCCAGGGTCGAGCACTCCCAGGTGCTACCTGTCCATAGGTGAGGAGACCCTTAGAGAGCACCTGGTGCTACCAGGTGTCCAACTCCCTGGGCCCCATGCCCCTGCTAGCTCCTGAGAAGGGCAGCTCTGGTGGGCTCAAGGTCAGATCCAGAGCCACTTGGTCCCATCCTTCCCCACCTCAGTGCTCACCCCGGGAGCCTCCTGGGCACACCTCTGCAGCAGCTCCTCCTTGGTTAGGAAGCTGTGGCCACTAGAATTCTGTAACCAAGGCAGAAATGTAACCAAGGCAGGTTCAGTGCCTGGGCCAGTCTCTTTCAGGGGCCTCATGCCCCACAGCCTCAGTTCCCCTGACTCTGGGTGTAGCTAGGCACTCACCAGGTGTTCCCTATAGAGCAGCAGCAATACTGCTCGTGCTCCAGAGTTCCGAGCTGGCCAGTAGCTGCCAGAGCCTCCCGCTTTGGGCTGGGCCAGAACCTTAAAGATACAAAGGGCTTTGAACATGAAAGTCAGCCAGCCAGCCGTTGTAGACTGAATCCCTGACAGAGCTGAGGTTCAGACTCTATCTCTGCAGGCTGCATGGCCCTGGGCAAGTCACTCAGCTGCCTCTCAGTTCCCAGATCTGTAAAACAGCACAGAGGATGGGATGATCGCTTGCAAAGTTGGGATGAGACAGTGGAGACTTGTGGGGTGGTGCAATCAGCCTGGTCCAGTCTCAGTTCCACCACCCACTGCAGGATAGGTGTTAAGACAAAAAAAACTCAGTACAGCAACCCCCACAACTTACTGGGCTTGGCCCACTACATAGCTTGATCATAGAACTGACTCTATTCAATCAACATATGTGTACCCATCTACAAATGAGAAAACTAAATACAAGAAAGATATCTGGCATTTGCCCAAGGCCAGATATCACTGGTGAGGAGATCTGGACCCAGACCTGCTAAGTCCCCAAGCCAGAAAATCTTACTCCTAGTGCCCCCACATTCCCTTCCATTCCTCTTGCCCTGTCCTCACTGGCATGGAAGAGTCCTGGACTTCAGCAGGTGGTCCTTCCTCGGCTGGGCTCTTCGCTCCAGATGAACCTGGGGCATGGTCACCTGCGGGAGCAGAAGAGAGTCAACCTCGGACCCAATGGAATCCAGCAGGCGAGAGGATCTGGGACTCTGCCGGCTTGTGTGGTAGATGAGAGGAGTGAGGCTCTACCAGAGCCAGCCACTAGCCCTAGGTAAAACAGCTCCTTGGACACGAAAGGGGCGCTTGAAGCTAAGGTATCCCACGTGGTTACGGAGGCTGCACCTTGGAGAGACTCGGAACCACCGACCCCTGCCCCCAGAGCTCACCGCCAGATGATCGGTGCTTCTGCAGCCGCTGGTCCAGCATCCGGCAGAGCCCGTCTCCGAAATGCAGTAGGATCTTAGCTTCTTTACCGCTGCGCAGGGGCAGTGGATAACGCCGGAGGGAGCGCAGAGCCTGGCGGGGTTAGAGGGTACCGTAGCGGGTCAGGTTTGGCCTGGTCGTCTGGCTCTGCCAGCACCTGTCATCAGGTGGGGCTGGGACCCACCTTCTGAAACACGAATTGCGTGCGGCGCCCCCTGCTGGCTGCTTCGTCCCGCCACTCGGTCAGCCAGCGTACAAAGAGCGGGTTGGGGCAAACCGGCAGCGGGCGTTTCCGGCCCAGACGGACCGGCGCCGCCATGAACCCCACGACTAGGCCTTTGGCATCTCACGCAGGCGGTACTGAGACGCCCAGACTGGAAACAGGATTCGAACACCTGGCTCAAGAGGGTGAAGGCGGTACTTCTTCAATCACGTGGTCCCACGAGGGGCACTAACTAGAGGATAACCTCCTGCTGCCCTCTCCACCCCTCCACTACTCTGAGTGGTTGGTGCCGAGCACGTCTCTACGGTCTTTCGCCCCCTCACCCCTCCCGGCCAGGACCAGCCTTTGGGACGCACCCCGCCCTGGCCCCGGAGCCTTGACCCGCCCCTTCCTCCCATCCCAGAGTCTAGGGCGGTCTTCTTTGTGAAGGCAAGAGAAAGGCGGACTGCGCCCCCTTGTGGCTGGGAGGGCTAGCTGGGGCGGCGCTTAACCACGTAATCTGAGGCTGTCATTTTCAGCCTCATCCTGAACAGGGAGTCTGGCGAGACGGGGGTTGTGAAAGCCTGAGAAGTGGAGGGTGGGAGACAAACGGGTGCAGGTGTATATGCAGGAGAGGCATCTAGGAAGTACAGGGTATGAGCACACAAAGGTAACGCAGAAGAAGCTGAAGGACCCGCTGAGGAATGGTGATCCCGAGCTGGGAGAGACAACACAGGGCAGTGGGGAGGGGTGCGAAGTCAGGGACGAGCAGAAAAAGCCAAAGTTAGTCGGACAAGGGGAGGGGAACAGAGGACAAGAAAAGGGACAAGTAGGAGGTGTTGGGCATCCTGGCAGGTAAGGGGGTGGCTGAGATGGGCACGTGGCTGGATATGGGGAAGCAAGCTGGGGATAGGAAGCCTTGACAAGGGTGAAAGGGGTGAACATTTCGCCGTTTTAGTGACTTATTGGAGGTGGGGAACCCTCAAAGGATTAAGATGGTACATCTATGCAAAAAAGATCCCAGGTTGAGGGACACGTATGCAGGAGCTGGGCACAAGGGTCTCGCTTGGGAGTTGATGCAACCCCCAGCAGTCATACCGGAAGTCGCGAGGTGCTAGTCTGGGGCCTTCGAGTGGAGTGGCAGCCCTGGGCGCAACAGGCCCGCCCCCTGAGACTCCGCCCAGCCGCGACCCCGTCTCCCAGCCTACTACTAACTCCCGCCTCCGGTCCGACGCTGCCTTATAAGGAGCCTCCAGCCAACGTTATGGTTGGTCCCGCCCTCTCTAGTCTCTTGTCCTAATAAGGACATCTAGGGCATCCCGCGGCTAGGGGCGGGCGGGAGCGCGTCTCCAGGGTAACTGCGCTATTCCCCTTCCCCCTCTTCGTTGCTCTTGGCAACTCTGAGGCTCGAAAAAGGTGGAGCCAGTTTTCTCTTCTGGCAGGGTCGCTGGGGGTAGGCAGGGGTCGAACTGTGGGCTTCACCAGGGGCTCCCCGTTGGTGGGCAGTACGGCGGGACTGTCCCTGACTACAACCCCCGGCATGCTCTGCGAGGTACCCACTCCAGGGAGTCGCTCCCCGAGTAGTGAAGAACGGGGTTTCAGCTCTTCATTTTACACCCTTTATTACGCTCTTAGGATCAATGGCCGTAATTCTCTTGTTTGGGACCCTTTCATCTCTGCCTGCAGTGAGACCATGGTCATTGCTTGAAGCCAACGAAATCTTCCCGAGTCTTCCACCCGTTTCTTTTGGTGAGACTTATGTCTCAATTTTTGCGGGTATTAAATTTACTAAATGCCTTGTTCTCAACTCTAGAACAAGATTCAAGTCTGATTTAATATCTATTTCCTCGGTTCCCGGTGTAGTAAAAGGCACATAATCCTTGAATGCACAAATCCCTGCCTGCCCTTCTACCTTTAGTGCCTTGTGAATTTGCCAAACATTTAAATGGACACATCTATTTTCAAAGATTTCCTTGTAGACTTTCTCTTATTTTATTGAAGTTTCATATGGTCTTTTCTCAGGAGACAAGCGTGGCTTTGCACATAAAAGGTGCTCAATGTTTACTGGATTGAAGGCGCCTTATACTTGGGATTCTCCATGCTCGAGGACTGGATTCCAGGCCAATGGATAGTTGCTTCGCTTCAGAAAAGTAAATTATTAATTCACTCAAAAATTTCAGACCAAGGGATCCAGAAAGTGCCAAGATGGATCTTAAGGGAACCGTTTCAAACGGGGTGAAAAGCCGCGAAGTTGGGACTCATTTTCGGGTCATGTTCATGTTACCGAGCGCCTTTCTCAGCTCTGAGCGTTTCCTGGGAAATTTGACCAATGGGCGCGCTTTCCGTGCCATAGCCCCGCCTCTCCCGGCTGTCTCGGACTACATTTCCCGTTAAGCAATGTGGCGCTGGGAGAACGGGGGACAAAAAAGACTCTGTTACCCAGCGAGCTTGAGGACGGCGCAGGACCTTTGGACTTCATTTCCCGTCGGCCCGCAGTGGGAGCGCCGGAAGCCCGCCCCGCCCCTCATTGTGCGGCTCATACTAAACGGAAGGGGCCGGGAGAGGCCGTGTTCAGTCGGATCCCGGCAGCAGCTGCAGCGCCTCTCATCTTTTCTGGCTCTCCTTGCGGTCTCCTTTTTGCTTCCGGAAACATGGTGAGCGCCAGGCCACAGTGCTTGAGGGAGGCGGCTGCGAGTCGGTCGTCTCGCGTGTGGGAGGGAACGGGGGAGCGACGTCGGCATCCCCTCCCCCAGCACCCCTGGCGGGATGAGGGTCTTGTGCTGAGGGGCGGGCGGTGCCGGGACGCGCGTGCGCGCCCGCGGGCGCCAGGGATGGCTGGATGGAACGTCGCACGCGCGCCCCCTGGGCTCCGTTCCCCTCCCCCACCCTTCTGGTGCGCCCGCGCGGACACTAGCCGTGGGGGAGGGGTCCGAGGCACGCGCCCGCCCCTCGTGGAGCCGCAAGTGTCGCGCCCCGCAGCAGCTTTGAAGAGAGTTGGCTCACGGGAGCGCGCGCTCGATGGGAGCACGCGGCATCCAAACCCTGCCCGGGGGCGGAGAAGGAAAAGCGCGCGAGCAGTCTTGGCGCGCGCGCCCCACCCAAGGCTGTTCCTGTCTCCGCGTCATCCTCCCTCGGCAGGCTGGTCTGTCTCGAGAGCAGGTGGCAGGGATGTCTGCGCCTGGGAGGGGCGGGGGCGGCGGGGATGCGCGGGCGCCTGGGATTAGGGGCTTGCACCGCGCGGCACGGATCGGACACCGCAGAGGCCACGGCCCTGTTCCCGGAGTGAGCTAGCCCACAAAGCGAGCTGGGTTCTCCGCTCTGTACACCGGGCAAAGGCTGGAACGACGTTGTTGGTCGGCGCGTGCGCGCACGCTCCGGCCTGGGCGCTGGGCCCGAAGCCCTGGACAAGCGGGGCCATCGGTTTTCCCGGATAGGGCCTGAGGGTGGAGCCAAGTTTAGGGAAGTGACCCAGGCGGGCACCGCCCGGAAACCACCCCGCCCGTGTTCGGCCCGAAAGCTCCGAGAACCGAAGGTTGTGTAACTTGCCGAGGCTCCAGCTCACAGCCGAGGTGGCTGATATGCCGGCCTGTAAAAGCGATTCTTTCGGGTTGAAGCCCTGGAGTTGTTGCTGGCTCTGGATAGGGGTTTCTCTCTCTCTCTCTCTCTCTCTCTCTCTCTCTCTCTCTCTCTCTCGGGGAGGGGGCCGAGACTAGCCAAGCTCCTTTCCCCGCCTACTCCGGAAGCGGCTGAGTCACATGCCTGGCTTCCTCTGCAGTTCCGGGAGGGGGGGGGCGGCGCGGCAGATTTCATCGTGGACAGTCGCTGCCTTTCCGGGCTAGGGTGTCCCCCAGTACGACCCAGAATAGAAGTATAAAGGGCTCTCAAGGACTGTGGGCACTTGAGTTTGCCCTGTGTACTTCTGTCAACGATCTTCTGGGGCCTGCATTTCCCCCAGAGAATAGGAGTGGTGTAGGGCCTTAATTAGGGGTTGTACTACTTTGGTTGAGGAAGACCCCAGCAGAGAAGAGGATAATTTGTGTAATAACTGTACTGAGCTACTGTGTATTTGCTTCAACTGTTGAGCACCTTTGGTGTCCCATCTAGCATTGTGGGGGCCTGACTCTCTCCTTCCAGAAGAGATGGCTATGATTTGGGTGTCTGGGTTTTCTTTACCTATCTGAAGTTCTGAGTCAGCAGTTTTATCCAAAAGCTGAGATTGAGTAATGTGAGTAGGAAAGGAGTCAGTTGCCTGTGGATTCTTATAATTGTGAGCTCACGTCTCAGTTAAGGTTCTGCTTCTCACAGGTCTTCAATTTCTAGCCTATAAGATGTTGGGTTGGGGAGGAATGATGCTGAATGAGGTGATCAGAGGTCTCTTTTGTGGTTGCCATTTTGGGGTTGTGTCCCCAAAATGGTTTGGGTGGGAAAATAGGGACACATACTTTGCGGAGAAGATTAATGATGTCTTGGGGCTGAGGACTGTAGTATGTTGGTTGGCATATAGACAGGTATCCTAAGGAAGCAAAGGAGGGATTTTAGGGGGAGTCCCAGAAATTTTTTCTTATGAGGTGTGTGTGGCTGGTCCCCCAGGCCTCTGGTGTGGCTGTCTCTGATGGAGTCATCAAAGTGTTCAATGACATGAAGGTGCGTAAGTCGTCGACACCAGAGGAGGTGAAGAAGCGCAAGAAGGCGGTGCTCTTCTGCCTGAGCGAGGACAAGAAGAACATCATCCTGGAGGAGGGCAAGGAGATCCTGGTAGGTGATGTGGGCCAGACTGTAGATGACCCCTACGCCACCTTTGTCAAGATGCTGCCGGACAAGGACTGCCGCTACGCCCTCTATGATGCAACCTATGAGACCAAGGAGAGCAAGAAGGAGGACCTGGTGTTTATCTTCTGGTGAGCTCCTTATGCAGGCACTAATTCGTGTCACCTGTACTGGCTCTGTCTCACCCCTCTTTCTCAGGATGGGAACTCTGGCTCCTGATTAACCAGACATGTGTTTAGGGTGGGGAGCATTGTAACAAAACACTTGTCAATGAGGAACTTGATAAAAGTTTGGATGCAAGGGGCCAGCTCAAGTGTTTGTCTCGAAGTCATCTATTGTTTGAGGGCGCTTGCTAGACTTGGAAATTTTGCTGCAAGTTCTCTTATATCCTTCCAGGGCTCCTGAGTCTGCACCCCTTAAGAGCAAAATGATCTATGCCAGCTCCAAGGACGCCATCAAGAAGAAGCTGACGGGTAAGGGCCAGCATTGGTAGTGCCACATGCCCTTCTTTCTGCCCAGGCCTTGGCTGCAGGGTGGGGTGACTGGCATGGCAGAGGAGGTTCTTCCCTCTCCTTGTCTCTTCCTGTTTGGAAGGTAACCACATCCCTTCCATCTGTTCTGATTGGCTCCTTCCCAGCCATAAACTACCCTCTGCCAACCCACAGCTTCCTACTCACATATGCTTTCCTTCCCCCTTTTCCCCACAGGGATCAAGCATGAATTACAAGCAAATTGCTACGAGGAGGTCAAGGACCGCTGCACTCTGGCAGAGAAGCTGGGGGGTAGCGCTGTCATCTCCCTGGAGGGCAAGCCTTTGTGAGCCCCCTCCAGCCCCCTGCCCGGAGCATCTGGCAGCCCCAGACCTGCCCATGGGGGTTGCAGGCTGCCCCCTTTCTGCCAGACCGGAGGGGCTGGGGGGAGTCCCAGCAGGGGGAGGGCAATCCCTTCACCCAGTTGCCAAACAGCCCCCCACCCCCTGGACCTTCCTCTTCCCCCCTCCACTCCTGACGGTTCTGGCCTTCCCATACAGCTTCGATCTTACGATTATTCTTGGGTTGAAGACGACCAAGTTCCCCCCGGGCACCCTTCGGGGGGGGTCTGTTTTTTTTAACGATACCCCAACACCCCACCTGTTCCTCCGTTTCCCAAGCTGCCAACTTCTAACCGCAATAGTGACTCTGTGCTTGTCTGTTTAGTTCTGTGTATAAATGGAATGTTGTGAAGATGATTCCTCCTCCCCACGCCGCCTGGTTTCCCTCCCCTTTTCCAACTAGTCATGGCCACTCATGAAGTAGGACCAGTAAGGAACCTACAATTAAAAAAAAAGAAAAAGAGACACAACAATAAAAAGGCTCGTTTATAGGATGTTTGTTTCAGGGTTGGGGCCCAGGGAACCTTGTGGGGGAGGTACGCTGGGAGTGTAAGCTGCATCTCTTCTCTGTATCTTACCTCTAACAAGCCCCTACACCCTCATCTAGCCCCAGAGACTGGTTGTTTAGGAGGTAGCTGAGCCAGAGCATGTCTGCAGGGGCCATGGAGCGGAAGGAGCTTTGTGTCTGAACTGCTTCTGTAGCCTTGACCCTGATGGGCAGTGGGGCAGTGAGGTCTCTTCTCTGATTCCCTCTTCAGTCCTGCCCAGATGTGAGCTGCAAGATTGCAAGTCACAGGTAGCCTCTTGAGCTTGGTCTTTTTGCTACCTCCTTCCCTGAGCTGCTGACTCATTTATGAGGGCTGGGTCCAGGGGCTCCTGTGAGTCAGAAGTCAAGTTGAACCTTTGGCCTTATGTAGATGTGGCTAGAGTCCAGGGTGGAGCCAGTCAGGTGGAGCTCAGGACTTCAGACCCAGGTGTCTTGGGCCCCACCTCCCTGTGTTTAACCAAGAGGGTGTTGGCTAGAGCCCCAAGCCTTTGGCCAGCATTGCTGTGGGCTCTCCAGCCTGTACTTTGGGCTTTAACCTGCCCAGCAGGTAAAGGTATCCTCGCAGTCTAGCCCTAGGGGTGGTAATGCAGGATTTAATACCTCCACCCCAGTCAATTGAACTGAAAAAGCCTTGAGTTAGAGCTGGCTCCTTAGTTTCTTAGAGCTTGTTAGTATTTGGGAGGGAGCCAGGGAGGAGTAAGGTAGTTCTCATTTTGCTTAGAAAAGAGGTGTAGAGGGAGTTGTGATTAGTCTTGTGTGTGGTTCATGCCAGGAGTTTACGGGGGTGGTGACATGCCTTGAAGACTGCTCCTGGGTCCCAAGCATTGGGTCTTGCCCTTCCTATGGAGAGTCAGCTGGCACTCCGGGAAATGGCTGAGGATGTCGCAGGGTGCCTCCCTAGCTCCCCCAGGATCTGGTTTCCATAGTGCCCTGGTGGCAGGACTGCCTGGTGGGCTCTGGAGCCATGGGAAGTGAGGACAAAGCAGGCCTCCTTGTTACAGAACCAGGTGGTTTATTTGTGAACAGGCTGGGGACAGCTGAACTCTGGAGCCAGAGGGTGAATGGAGGCTGGCCCTCAGCCCCCTTGGGAGGGAGGTCAGGGCTCCTGTGCTTCCCCCAAGTTGGGGTTTGGCTTACCTGTGGCCAAATACAGTGCCCATGCTGCCCTACCTTCCTCTTGCAGGGCCTGGCACCTTGGGGTGGGGGTGGAGCTTGGGTTTGCCCTGGGAGGTGATGGCTCCTAGTGGCTGCTGTGGTGTGGAAGGGGAGGCATCTTGCTGGGGTGGGAGGCCTGGGGGACTCATGGCACTAAATGCCCCCGGAGCAGGCTGGCTGCTCTAAGGCTCCCCCTTGAGGGTGACAAGAGTGTTCCGGAGAAGCAGCGTGCTAGCCTGCAGAGAAGAGAGATCCTGAATGTCCCCCGCCTGTGCCACCATGCTTTCTGAGATGGTGCTGCCCTTCCTGCACCTCATAATTGTCCTCATTCTCCCCTCACCCCAATCCTCAGCAGTAACAGCTGCCATTTATTGAATGCTTACTGTCGATAAAGGCCCCGAACCTCAGCTGGGACAGCTCTCAGCTGCCTGACCCTCTCCCCTAAACAGACACTTGGTAAGAACCTAGAGGCCTGGGGGTCGGGGAGGCAGCAGGAGGGCCCAGTAAGGATGGAAGGCTCACCTTGGCGTGTTTAAGCTCCAGCTCCGCCAACTCGACGAGGTTCTTGCGGAAAGAGGAGACACGCCGAGACTTGAAGTCCATGAGCTCTGGAGAGCAGAGAGGAATGGGAACCCTGGCAGGGTAGGCAGCCCAGTGTTGGGCTTCAGGGCCACGGGGCTTACCCTGCTTGGCTGAGTCTGAGAGGCGTTCAAAGCGCTGGCAGCACAGTTGCTGGTGGCTCTCAGCAGTCCTCACTGCCCGGTTCCTGGTGCGTGCCTTGTCCAAAGCCTTGTTGGCATTCTCATAGTCAGCCAGGGCCCGCAGCCGCCGATAGAGCAAGTCCTGGGGCCAGCGGGGGCTTTCATGTACCTACCTCCTGGTTGCTCCGGTCCCATTGGCCCCCAGGCCTGAGGTTTGCTCTGGGGCCACCTCTCACCTTGGCTGCCTGTGAGTCTCGCGTATAGTATCTCAGCATGTCTGACAACTTCAGGTCCTCATCTGAGGCCACTCGGCCTTCCAGCTTCTGAATCAGGAAGGTGGAGGCTGGGGAGGGAGCTTGCCAAGCGGCAGCTCAGAGTTGGGGGACTGCTGCTCATCTAGCAATCCAGCAGTCACTTGATAACCACTCTAGGTCAAATCCTGATATTAAGGGGAGCGGGTCAGGGAAGGTGTCACAGGAGGTGGTATCAGATTTGGATCTTGGGGTTGAGTAGAAATTAGACATCAGGCAAAGGCTTTAGAGGTGTGCAAGTCTGGTATGTGTTCAAGGAAACTGAAGTTCAGTGGGGGTACTTGGATGGCAGTGGCCAGATCATGAAAGGCCTAAAATGCAAGCTAAGGGCTTTGGGCTTTATATCTTGGGCAGTTTCTGGAAGGTGCAGGGTCCCTGAAGGGCCTTGAGCAGGGAAGAGATGTAGTCCAACAGTTTGGAGATACCAGCACACCCCAGTGACTTTCTTGGAGAATTCAGAAAGGTCTGGAGCAGGATGTTGGCAGCACAGTGCAAACAGCGAGGCACGTGTGGCATATCCTTGTAAATGCCTCACCAAGCTCAGTTCCCACCCTCCTCCCCCATCACCACACACACACACACGTTCCCACCCTCCTCCCCCATCACCACACACACACACACGTTCCCACCCTCCTCCCCCATCACCACACACACACACACACACACACACACGGGGCTGGGTCCCTGTCTCCACTTCTTACTAAACTAGCCTGGAGAGTAATAAGTCCAGAGCATCATTGGGCCCAAATTATCACTGAACATTCCAGGGTGATCCTGGAGCTTTGCCCTTTTCCAGGACTTGATTCCCTGAAAAGGATCATTGGGTGGCCTTTCATCACAGAAGGCAGTACTTACCCTTAGTCGTTCAAAGAGCTCTGCCAATTTGAAGAAGCTCCTAGGAAGCAATGGGGAGGAGTTAGGGCAGGGGCCTTAGGTGGGTGCTCAAAGCCTTCCTACCCTTAGCCCACCATTGGGGAAATATCCGTTCCCGCTTTCCCAAATCCCAGGAGACATTTCTGCACCTCCCACCTAGAGCTGATGATAGGCTTCCACAGGGACCCCTGGTGGGCAGACACAGTATTACAGGCACAGAGAAAGGGCAGGAGCGGGAGTCCTCTCACGTTTTTAGCTGGTTGATTTCCTGTGTTCCCAGGCTGCTCAGTGCAGCAGAGATAGGGATATAGTCATCAGCCAGGCCTGTTGGGAACAGCCCTCCATCGGAACCCATTGGTCTGCACATCAAGCCCACCCCTGGCGTTTGTGGCCAGACATGGGATTTCCTGCCCTCTTCTCTCCCCTGGGAAGTAGGACTGCTGGGGAGAGGTGGCCGGGAATCCAGGGCCCCTTGGCCCCTGCGTACACTTGTGGGAGTGCATGACACGGTCTGCCCGCAGGCAGGCATCACGAATGCGGGTGTGGTACTCCAGCAAGAAAGTCCTCTCATGCTCAAAGAAGTCATCCACCTCCTAGGGGAGCAAGATAAGACCCATTTACACCCAAGTCACCAAGAGCATGGCAGCCACTGACAACCAGGAGTGGCACAATCTCCCTCTAGGCCAGTGGCTTCCCTCCCATAGCCACCCTGGGCCTCAATCTTTGCTATGGACTTGAGGCCCTGGGTGGAATCCAGAGGGGCCCCAGGGGTCACCTTGAGCCCTGACATGCCGGTGATGAGGGCTTCATCTGCAGACTCCACAATATTCCTCAGAAACCCCCCAAGGAGCTCCTTGCTGTTCTTTCCTCGGACACTCAGCTGAGGCACACGCAGGGAGGGTGTGATGTTGGGGTGGGCATTTGCACCTCCCACCCAGGCATATGCCACTCACGGAGCTGAAGAGACAGAGGCTTGAGCCCACCTAGAACCCCGTCCCCCACCCCCAGGGGGGTGACCCCTGTGTTCTGAGGCAGCTCACATCCTGGCTGTATTCCAAAAAGACAAAGAAGTTGTGGTCTTGCCGCAGGGTAGGGTGGGCCGCCAGGCGCTGCAGAAAGACTTCATGCATTGCAACTGTCTTCTTAAAGATAGCGAGGTACTCCCTGCAGAGAATAGTAGGCAGCTCGAGGGCTCTCCTTGGTTTGATCGGCCTCCCTCCTGTCTCCTGCCCCTGCAGCAGCCCTGGGGGTCAGAGTCAGGGTCCCTTAACCCCCAGGGGATATAGAGTCGCGGGAAATTCTGGGGTTCCCAGGAGAGGGCTCGGGTTTTGTCACAGACAAAGGAGGTGGCACTCACGCTTCTAGCTCCTGCTTCATTTTGGCAAACTCTTCCCGAGTGACGGAGCTGTCTCCTTCACCCAACTTCTGTAGCTTTTCCCTTGAAGCCTCAAAGTCTGGCTTTGGAGGGGCTGGGGGGATCTGCTCAAAGCAGGGGCAGAGCTGGACAACCTCTCGTTGCTGAGAAGGCTATCACCCACATCCAGAAGCCTGGCCCAGCCTTCCGTCCTCACCCAAGCGCCCAGGTCTGCCCCTTGCAGCCCCAGTCCACCCAGCCCCTCCTCACAATAAGGCCAGCGTACTCCTCATTTTCCACATAGGTGTCATGTAGCCAGATGAACTCCTCATGCTGCCGTATGACTGAGAACTCGGTCTGGGCGAAGTGAGGGAGGCAGCTCTGGAAGCCGGGAAGCCTGTCTTGAGTGCCTCTCCTCTCCAAACCCTGCATCAAGCTTTCTGGGCACCCACTTTGGGGCTTCCCCAGTCCAACACCCCAGGTGAGGCCCAGATGGGGCTCAGGTGTCCATGCTTCCATCAGGATCGTGGATGGGGGATGGTTAGGGACTTAGGCCTTAGGCAAAGGCAATCAGAAAATAGTCAAGATACCAACTTTCTCAGAGGAGCCAGGTTGAGGAAGAAGGCCCAAAGGCTATGATGGCACCTGCCTACCATCCCCCAGAACAGCAGTGGCTGAGGGAAGTGGGTTCCTATTCAGAATCGCCCCCTCACTCCTCATGCAGCCTCACCTTGGTTTGAACGGTGAATTTAACCTTGTCCCGCTCGCTCACTGCATCAGAGATCTCCACCTGTAAGGAGCTGTCCCCCTGCAGGTCCACTGATTTGGAGGAGGGCTGTGGGGGAGGGGAGATCCCTGACACAACTGATCACTGCGCTTTTGCCCATCCTTGCCGCAGGCTTCTGGTCCTCAGCCCACCTCAGCAGCATTGCTTTCATAATGCCCCTGGGTCACCAGCTGCCCCCAGAGGGATCCTGCTAAGCCACTGCTCAGGGCTTTACAATGACCACACTTTCCCAGCCTTCCCTCCTCTGAAGCAGGCAGAAGTCTCCCCTTTTATAGGTGTGGGAGCTGAGCCCACCAGAGAGGTGAAGTAACTTATCTGAGATCCCTCAGCTGTGACAGGGTTCCTTGATTTCAAACCCCATGCACTTTCTCAGCTATCTGCCCAGCCCTTCCCCAGCTGGTTACCTCAGGTGCCCTTGTACAATGAGTTGGATGAGAAGTTCCCACCTCTTTTGAGGGGTCCCTGAGACCATTCCATTCACTACTTTTAGTGCCAAGAGGAATTGACTTGTATTTCTCTAAGTCAGTGGTTCTCAACCTGTGGGTCGCGACCCCTTTGGGGGACAAACAACCCTTTCACAGGGGTCGCCTAAGACCATCGGAAAACAAAAAGATATTTACATTACGATTCATAACAGTAGCAAAATTACAGTTATAGAGTAGCAACGAAAATAATTTTATGATTGGGGGTCACCACAACATGAGGAACTGTATTAAGGGGTCGCGGCATTAGGAAGGTTGAGAACCGCTGCTCTAAGTGAAAAGATCCATGTGGCACTAAGCTACCAGTTCCTTCTTGCATTGAGCTATTCAACAAGCATTTATTGAACACCTATGTCCACATCATTGTGCCAAGTGATACTAAGGAGAAGGGAAGAGGCTTAGAAGCCACTCTACGTAAAGCATTTCTCACAAGTACATAAACTGGCAAATGCCCACCTCTCACACCCAGAGACCTCTCAAGTTTTGATGCACATTGGGGACCACTATTCTGACTTCTGTCACCATAGGTCTTGAATTTCATACATATGCACTTATACAGTATATGCCCTTTTGCATCCGTGTCCTTTAGTGAGATCCAACTGTGCTGAGTATCGTTCTTTTTCATTGCTGTCTAGTATTCCATTATATGACTATATCATAGTTTATGTGTCCATTTTCCATTTGGTCATTTGGATTATTTCAAGTTTAGGGATATTATGAATAAAGCTGCCATGAACATTCTTGTATATGTCTTTTTTTTTTAAGATTTTATTGGGAATTTGGGGAAGGGGAACAGCCAAGTTGTTGTCCTTCAGTCTTAGTTGTGGAGGGGGCAGCTAGCTCAGCTCTAAGTCCAGTCACCATCTGGCCGCCCGTCGGCAGCTTGCAGCCACTCAGCTCAAGGTGCTGTGTTCAATCTTAGTTGCAGGGGGGAATGGGTTGGGGGGGTGGCGTAGCCCACCATCCCATGCCAGACTCGAACTGGCAACCTTGTTGTTAGGAGCACATGCTCTCACCAGCTGAGCCATCCTGCCACCTGTTGGCAGTTCAGTGGCAGCTCAGCTCAGGCGCAGCTCACTGGCCCATGTGGGAATCGAACTGGTGACCCTGTTGCTCAGAGCTTACGCTCTTAACCAACTGAGCCACTCAGCCAGCCCTTGTATATGTCTTTTGAGGGACCTAAGTACTCATTTATGATGGGCATGAGGATTGCTTGGCCATAAGGTAGGCATGTGCTTAAAATGCTTTAATAGGGCTGGCCGAGTGGTTCAGCTCGTTAAGAGCTCGCTTGGGAGCGCCAGCTCTGAGCAGCAGGGCTGCAGTTCGGATCCCACATTGAGGGCCAGCCCTCTACAGCTAAGATGATGAACGACAGCTGGACCTGGAGCTGGGCTGCTGTGAGTCGCCGGCGACGGCATAGGCTGCAGTGGGCTGCCATGAGCTACATGAGTAGCTGACAGCCAGCGTGAGCGGCCGGCCGCGGGTGTGAGCTGCCGGGAGCCACTGTGAGCGGCCGACCAATGACCAGTGACCGATCTGCCTCATCTGGGAAGAGCACAATGATAATATCAACATGGGCCAGTGAAGTGACATCCTCCACAACTAGACTGAAGAACAAAAACAGCAATTTGTGTACCTGTCTGTTCCCCTTCTCCGATTCCCTAACGCTGTTCCCCTCCCCCCAATTCCCCAATAAAATCTTTTAAAAAAAATAAATAAATAAAATGCTTTAATAGATAATTCCAAACAGTTTTCCAAGTTGATTATACTAATTTATACTCCCGCCAGCATTATCTGAAAGTTGCAGTTGTACATCTTTGCCAACACTTAGAACTGTTAGTCCTTTTTATTTTAGCCATATTGGTGGCAGTACGGCAATAGCACACTGTGGCTTTAATTTGTATTCTCTGGGGAGGAATGATGTTGAACAGCATTTTTTGTACCTATTGGCCATTTGGATATCTTCTTTTATAAAGTGCCTATTTAAGTCTTTTGCTCCTCCCCTGCACTCCTCTTTTAAAAATCAGATTGTCTTATTCTTACAGCTTTGTAGGAATTCTTTATATACCCTGGAGTTATATGTATTGCCAATATCTCCTATTCTACATGTTGCCTTTTCACTCCCTTAATGGCTTATAATTTTACAAGCTCAATATATCAATCTTTCCTTTTAGGATTAAGGATTTTTGTGTACTCTTGAAGAAACTTTTGCTTACCCCCAAGGTCATGAAGATATTCTTCTATTTTTTTCTAGAAATTCATAGTTTTAGCTTTTATATTTAGGTTTGTGATTTTCTTTTTTTTTTTAAGTTTTCTTTAAATATTTTTTTGGGGGCGGGGACACCACACTTCTCAATGAAGAGAAATATCAACAATACAGAGATCTTTTATTTTTTTACATTTATGTCATGAATTCATAGGGAATGGGTTCCAGCAGCTCAGGCTCCTTTCCATTGGTTCTCACAAAGTGTGCTTCTCTGGGTGGGGCAGGCTGGAGTTTCAGTTGAACCCAAGTACCTTTCTCTTTGGCTTCTTTCTTTTTCTGATCATTTTCCTTCCTCGTTTCAGGAAGCTATCCTGGCTCTTAAGAGTGCTTAATACGCTCAATACGAACATTAATTCTCTTGGCAAGAATCTTGCCCTTAATTTGTTTTAGGACAATGCCAACCGCGTGCTGAGTAACACTGTAGACCCTTCCAGTTTTGCCATGGTAACATTTGTGGGGCATTCCTTTTTGAACAGTGCCCATTCCTTTGATGTCTACAATATCACCTTTCTTGTAGATTCGCATGTATGTGGCCAAAGGAACAACTCCATGTTTTCTAAAAGGCCTAGAGAACATATAGCAGGTGCCCCTCCTCTTTCCCTTTGTGTTGGTCATCTTGACGAATTACTGGAAGATGGAGGTCCTGGCCAAAAAGGGTGATTGATTTTCAATTCATTTTATATTCAGTGTAAGATTTGGGTAAAATATACATGACATAAAATTTTTTCTTGAATTGACTCTTTAATCATCATAAAATGTCCCTCTTTATTTCTAGTAATAGTCCTTGTCTTACAGTCTACTTTGTCTGAAATTAATATAGCAATACCAGCTTTCTTTTGATTAGTGTGTTCATAATATATGTTTTTCCATTCATTTCTTTTCAATCTTTCTGTGTCCTTATATATTTTTTTTCTTTTTTTCTTTTTTTTTAAATGGTGGCGGGCGCAGCTCACTGGCCTATGTGGGAATCGAACCGGCAACCCCAGCACCATGAGCCCACGCTCCAGCCACCTGAGCCAACCGGTCGCCCCTCTCTGTGTCCTTATATTTAAAGTATGTCTCTTTTAACAGAATAGAGTTGTCTTTTTAAAAATCCAATCAGAGAATGTTTTTTTTTTTTTTTTAAGATTTTTATTGGGGAATTGGGGTGTGGGAACAGTGCTGGGGAATTGGGGGAAGGAGAACAGACAAGTTGCTGTCGTTTTGTTCTTCAGTCTAGTTGTGGAGGACGTTGCTTCACTGGCCCAAGT